CAGCCGCGGCCCTCCGGTTGATCCTTCAGCCGCAACGCTGTCTGGCTGGCGGCCCCGGGGAGAGTCAGCGGCCGCAGCGGACCGGGGCCCCCCACCGAGCACGTTCCCCTCCTCACGACCCCCGGCCTTCCGCGGGAAGACAGGTTCGGTTAGAGGGTGATCCCCGCGGTGCCGGCGTGAGCCCAGCCCGACTTCTCTGGGACGCCGACCCTCCCGCCGGCCCCCTTTCTAAAGGATCGGCCCAGTGCGGACTGGGGGGCCCAGTTCTTGTGCCCATTTAACAGGAGAGCGCGGGAGGCACTCTGCGTGCCCGGGCCTCAGTGACCAAACCACCCGGGGCCCTGAGAATCGAGTCCTGGGTGGCCTTGTGTGGCTGCGGTATCGCGTGCGACCCGGAGCCCCGCCAGAACCTGTGCCAGGTGGGGTCAGCCGTGGGAAGCCTGCCCAGCCCCTGCCCAGGGGGAGAGCTGTCCTCATAAAAAGTGTTGCACTGTTTCCCGACCGAATTTTCCACCCAGCCCATCAACAGGGTCATTATGCACCGTGGATGCCGCACTGAGGCTGGCTTTCCGCTCCCACGGCCCCCTCCCTGGCCCTGGGGGAGGGGGAGGCAGAGCAGGGCGGTGGGGCGGCCAGTTCGGAAGGCCCCGGGGGAGCAGAGGGTGCTGCCACTGGGACAGCATCAAGACAGCCCTGACCACGGGGCCTGGAGATGTCGTGTGCACCTCACATCTGCCTTGGGTAACACTGGGGGGCACGTGAGGATGGTACACAGGTGGGGTTCTGGAAAAGGGAGGACTGGGCAGGCCGACACACTACCCTTCCTGGTGAGTGGGGCTGGGGGTGGCCACACAGCCTGTGCCAGTGCCGGCTCGGCTGTGAGGCTGGCGGTGCTCATCAGCCAGGACCCATCCGGAGGGGCCGTCGCTGGGCAGAGCACAGGGCTCCGTGCAGCAGAGCTGCGGTTCAGACCCCAAGTTCTCACCCCTGACCGCGACCCTGACTGCCTCTTGGAATAGACCACCGGTCAACGGGGTAACTGACCACGTGGCGATTGACAGTGGACTCCAAGCCCTGACGGGTGTAGCCGTGGCCGCTGGCAGAGGGCGGGCAGGCGGCCACGCTCACCCCCGAGTCTGGCCCACCCAGGTCACCTCAGGCAGGATTTGAGTGGCCACTGCAGGGCTGGCCCCCGGCCCGGGGCAGAAGCAGAAGGAGTGCCCGTCATCCCTCGGCCCAGCACCAGGCGAGTCGGCCCGTGGGAAGCCAGCCTGCTACGTCTCTGGCCCCCAGTGTCCCCCGGCGCTGGCCCGCCCTCCTCCTGGGGAGGCTGGCAGTCCCCAGGCCCCACCTCCTGCTGCCACGCTCAGGAAATAGCTCAGCCTGCCCTTCACTCCCCCGCCTTCCCCCCCACCCCGGCTCTGCCATCCCCACACGGGGCGGGCCCAGCTGTTTCTAGTTCACGGAGAGTTCTACAAGGGAGGCCACCCTGAGGCGCCAGAGTGTTTCAAGCGCAGGTGTGGGGCAGACCCACGGCCGGACCCTGAGCCCCACACAGGCAGCACCACGCACTCTGCCCGCCGCAGCCGGCCGGAGCCCCCTCTGTGGTGGCAGGAGCCCCTGCCTGCCACTGCGGTCAATGCCTGGGGGATGGAGAGTTTCTGCAGTTGCACCGAGGAGGCCCCTTACCCTCCGGCGGGCATGGACTCCAGATGGTCCAGCTCCAGGGCGGGGAGGATGCCCCCACCTGCCCACCCCGCCAGGAATCCCGCACACACGTGCAGAGCCCATGGGCTCAGACTTCATGTCTGTTGCACTGGAATTCCCCCAGGGCCAACTCTGAGCTGTCCCTGGGGGTGGGGATGCCCACAGGCGTGGAGGTGGAGCCCAGGCACCCGCAGTCTGCAGGGCAGCCCCGGCCTGCAAAGGGACGCCTTGGTGCCTCTAGGTCCAGCCTCGGTGAAGGCCACCACTTGAAGGCTAGGGCCATCCGTCCTTCTGGGGAGAGGGCTGGGGACGGGAGCCCTCCGCCTTTCCCTTCTCTAATCCTTTCAACATACAGCTGTCAAGGGAGCTGGGGAAGCCCTGTCCCGCCCCAGACACCACCTACTGCTCCTCCGGGGACTGGAGGGGCCTGGTGAGGCAGGCGAGGGCACGGGCCCAGAAGGGAGGAGGGGGCTGCTGGCCTCGCTGCCACTGGACGCAGTCTCTGTGTCTCTGCCCTCCCAAAGGCAGGCTCTGGGGTGGCCGCCTCAGGAGGAGGAAGGAGGGGCTCTGACACTGGCCCAGTGATATCAGTTGGTCTCACCTCTGAGCCTCGAGGAAACTCAGTCCCACTTTGTACCTGAGGAAACGGGCTCAGAGAGATTGAGTAACTTGGGCAACGTCATACAGTCGAGTGGCAAAGCTGTGATTCGCACTCACGCCCAGATGAGTCCAGGGCCAGCTCTTCCCCAAGCGTGATTTCCCTCTCCCAGAGGTCTCCTGTGGCCATGTGCCTCCTTCCAAAGCCACGAGGCTGGTGACCTCACGCCTCCTCAGAGCCAAGGCCCCACCAGAAGGGCCTGAGCCGACCCCTCAAGCCTGGGACCAGGCTGAGGGTCCAGTCACTGGGGATGACGAGGCCTCTGGGTCATCCTAGAGCCATGTTGGGTCCCCCGGTGTGTCACCCTGGGGCTGTCCTACCTTCAGCACACTGGCCTCATGCAGCCACACTGAGGCCGAGGGTTTCAGCATCCGAGATGGTGTGTGCCTAGGGTGTGGTGCCATCTTCGTGGGTGGTGCGTGGTCTTAGTATCTCCTGGGAGGCTGAGCTGTAGGCGCCATCTCCCACCTGGGCCCCAGCTCTTTCCCACAGTCTGCGCCTGTCCCAGGGGCTGGGCAGCCAGCCCTGGCAGACCCCTGTGTTCTGGGAATGAACGCCCCTGCCCAGCGACCCTTGGCCACAAACACCTGTGGTCAGAGGCCTGGCAGGTGGAGGTGAGCAGGCATCCTTGCAGGCCAGGCTGGAGTGGACAGGGGAGGGGGCATGCAGGGTCTGCTGCAGCGGGGTCCCTCCTCGCCCTCCAGAAACCTCGGGCCCCTCACCCCAGCCAGGGCCGGGGCCCCAAGCCAGGCGCAAGGAACCGGGGGCAGGAAAGCTTCCCCCCGGGGAAAGACGCCGGTGCCTGCAGCCAAAGGCTTCCCCTTCCAGGACCAGAGCAGGTGTGATTGCCCCCAGCTGGGTCCCTCCCCACCGCCACGTCCCACGCCCAGCCTGTTATAAATAGGAGGCTGCCTGGCCAGCGTTGGGCCACGGCCTGCTTTGTCACCTGCTAGAACCGCCACCAGCACCGCCACTGTCACAGCCACCCAGCATGGGAGGTTGGAGGCACCCACACAGGGAGGCTCCAGCCTCAAGGTCCCAGGGGTGCCTGAGGTGGCCTGTGGCCGGGGCAGTTGGGGCAGGCCATCTCTCCGGGTCTCCCCTGCCTGAAGTGGAGGGGCCACGTCCCACGTGAGAGGGCAGGGGCTCCTGTCCACACCTTCATCACGCCACCCCCACTGACAGAGAGCTTGCTGTGTGTGAGAGGAGTGTGTGTTCGTGCAAGTGTGTGCGTGTGCTGCGTGAAGGGGCCATGCACCCCTGTTCCTGCCGCAGCTGAGGCGTCAGGGACCCGCAGTGCCCACACTCACCCCAGCACATCCGCCCTAGTGTCAGGACCCCGATCCCCATCTCAGGAAACCCTGGAGGTGCCTGAGTCTCCAGAGCCACCCTCCTCCTGCCCCGCCAGCTCCAGCTGGGGTGGGAGGCGGCCGCTACGGAGTCCCAGAGAACCTTCTGGAGCCCCTTTTGCCTCGCCAGTATCACAGGGCTGAGGGTCCTGCCTTCCCTGTGACGGCTCAGTGTGATCACGGGACACACGTGTGGGCAGCGCTCTGTCCCGTGTGGGACCCGCCATCAGCACCCCATGCTGGCATGTGCCCCTGGCCAGGCCACCTCCACAAACCCGAGGCCTGGGCCCCACACAGCTGGCTGGCGCTAGGGTGCCAGCACGTGCCAGCTGAATGCACCAGGCCCTTCCTCTGGCTCAGCCCCCTCCCCAAGCGCCAGCCCAGGCCCCATTAACTGGAGGGACCAGAACCCAGGGGGCTGCACCCCAAGTGTGAGAGACCTAACGATTCAGACCAAGATGGGGACATCGTGGGAAGTCCGCAGTAGGCCCAGGCAGTGACTCAGTGCATGTCCTGGACCGGCAGGCCTGACCTGGTCAGGGCTCCATGGCCCTGCACACTGGGGGACCTGGGTCCCGGGACGCTGGAGCCTCCAGGTGGGAATGGGGACCAGGCAGGCCTCGGGTCCACCTCCTTGCAGCCCTCAGATCCCCACCACGTCTGGCCCATCAGCCTGCTGCCTACTTTTCCAGAAACCCGAGGCCCACGAATGGACCATCCCTGGGGCCTCAGCCCGGTGGACGACGCCCCACCCCGGGCCAGCAGCGCCCACAGGTCTACAGGCCTGAGCCTTAGCCGAGATGTGGCCAGACCTGCCTGGCTCCATCGGCCCCAGTCAAAGTGGCCATGCTGGCCGCTGAGGGTTAGTGGAGGCTGTTGAGGCCCAGAGTCCCGTCAATCCCCAGCGCTGGGCTCTAGGCCCACCCTGAGCAGGTCACCTGGCTGCCCCTCACCAGAGGCCTCTGGCCCACTTGGCAGATGGCAGCAGAGACCCACCCAGCCTCGAGCCCGCCTGCAGACAAGGCCAGGCGTGGCCTGAACACCATGTCCCCTGCTGTCCCTGCCCCACCAACCCGGCTCGGCTCTGGCCATGACAAGACACACCCGCGGAGGCCGCCTGGAGCCCTGCCGGTCATCACAGGGGAGGGCCGCAGCGTCGGTCCCAAGTATGGACCAGCTTCTGATGGGGCCTCTCTTGGGCATCAGCAGGCCGGGCTGGGCCACTGGAGGCTGAGGGACGCGACGGTCCCGGGAGTTCCCAGGGACAGAGAATGGAAGTCGATGGCATGGCCCCGGGTGAGGACACCTGGGTGGGGTCAGACCGGACGGTGGGCTGGGACCCCACTGAGGCTCGCTTCTGGGATTCAGCTGGAGCCATGGCCCAAGCAGCCGGTGGGGGGCCGGGGACCCGAACGTGCCCCCAGCTGCCGCCATCGCCACCACCGCCCCCGCCCGAGGAGGGGCGTGGGGAGAGGCTGGTGGAGCTGCGTGCCTCGTTGAGGGAGCTGGTCGCCACCTTCTGCACCAACGGCACCATCCACGGCGCCATCCGCCTTGTGTGCTCCAGCCAGAACCGCCTCAAGACCGCGTCCTGGGGGCTGCGGCTCGCGCGGGCCCTGGGCGTGCTCTGCTGGCAGCTCGGACTCCTCTTTGGGCAGTACCGGTGCTACCCGGTCATCATGACGGTGTCCGTACACTCGGAGCGCAGCGCAGCGCAAGCTCTTCCTGTCGGTCACCCTGTGCGACATGAACCTGCACTGGTGAGGGTTGCAGCCAGCTTGGGGGCCCCTCCCCACGTGCGGTCACAGCGGGAGCCCCCATCGTGGGCGACTTGCCTTCCCCAGCCCTGAGCCCCGGGAGCGAGCTAAAGGGCAAGTAGAGCCAGCGGAATCTTGGTGTGACCACTGCCACCCGGAGGGACGCTGAGGCGCTGTGCAGCCCGGGGAGGGGGAGGGGAGGGTGGCGGGGGACTTTCCAGAAGGGCAGCGCCCCCCCCCTCCCCCCGCTGAGAAGGGAGCAGGGCAACACTCCAAAGACAGGGAGGGGCCGTGAACGAGCCAGAGGGTGGCGGGGTCCGCGGTGGGCGGGGCAGAGGCAGGCCGGGGATCTGACTTCCCTATGCAGCCCCGGCTCCCGAACCCGCTCCTGGGCTTCTGAGGACGGCGGGGGATGGGGGCCGCTCTGCTCTCCGCGTCACCCAGGTCAGTGCCGTGGGGACCAGCGGGGCTCTCCCCGCAGTGTGCGTGGCTGTCGTGGGGACTCGAGGCCTGGCTGTGACTCTGCTGGCCCCCACCCTGGCCCTGCCCCCAGGCCGCACCCAGCCCGCCGCCCCCTGCGGGCGCTGGACAACTTTGCCCGGGAGAACATCTACTCCTTGTGTGGGTTCAACTTCAGCAACAGCGAGGACGCCCCGGGGGCCGAGGCCCCGGGCCCCGAGCTCGCCTTCCAGCTGGACCGAAGGATCCACCTCCAAGGCTGAGGCCCCTGGGGGGCCAGAACAGAGTGGGCTGCAAACTGGTGAGTGTCCCAGCCCTGGGAGGTCTGCATGGGACGGGGCAGGTCGGAGCCCCACGCTGACCCCGTGCCGCCCAGTGTAACAGCGCCGGTGGCGACTGCATCCAGCAGGCCTACTCCTCCAGCGTGGTGGCCGCCTGGGAGTGGTACCGCTTGCACCGCGTGAACGTTCTGGCCTTGCTGCCTGCTGCCCACGAGGACGGCCACCACAGCCGCGGCAGACACTTTGTCTTCTCCTGCCCCTACAATGGCCAGGGCCACCAGGCCCGGTGAGTGCAGGCGGGTGGCTGCTCACCCCGCCACACCCCATGCAGTGGTCTGCCGGCCCCACGGGGCCCTCCAGAGATAGGGCAGCTGTGGTCCCCTCCCTGCAACCCCGGGGCTGCACACAACAGGGTGATGGGTCAGGGGTATGTGCAGGTCTGAGCGTGGCCCCTGGTTCCAGTCACTTCCAGACCTCCCACCACCCCAGCTACGGCAGCTGCTACACCTTCAACAGTGTCTGGGCCGCGCGGCACCCCGGCATCACCCATGCTGTGTGCCGCCAGCCTGGGCTGGGTGTGGGCGGGGTGTCCAGGCCGGCCTGGCCTCCCCCCCGGCCTCCCCCAGGGGTCAGCCTGGCCCTCGGGATGAAGCAGCAGGATCACCTCCTGCTGCCCACGGGGGCCGGCATCAAAGTCGTGATCCACACGCCCTTCCTGGAGCACCGGAAAAGTTTTTTAACTTATGCAGTGCTGTATGTCAATTATATCTCAAGAAAACTGGGGATAAAAGATATTACTTTTTAAAGACTGTCCTGTGACCAGCCTCAAGGCTCCCGGCCTCCGTGCCCAAACCTGGGGCCTCGGGGGCTCCAGGGCAGGGCGGCAGAACTGAACCGCACCCCCTCCCCCCAGGACAAGGTGCACAGGCTCGGGAGCCCCTGTGGGCACTGCACAGACAGCACGGGGGGGCGTGGACGTGCAGCTGCTGTACACCGTCTCCTGCACCAGGCAGGTGAGGTGGGGCGTGGGGGGGCATGAAGGTGGGGGGGGAGGGGCCCAGGGAGGGGGTTGGGGAGTGGGGGGAGCTAAGGCAAGGAGTGGGAGCCGGGGGGCGGACAGGCCAGTGGGAGGGAGGTGGGCGGGTGGCAGGCCCGGGGGAGGGGCGGCGGTCCTGGACCCACAGCTCCAGTCCCCGCTGTTTCCCCAGGCCTGCCTGGTCTCCTGCTTCCAGCCGCTGATGGTGGAGACCCGCTCCTGCGGCTGCTGCTTCTAAGCCCTGGCCTGCGGGGGCCGAGGACTGCAACTCCGTGCGGCACCCAGCCTGGGGTAGCCCCCACCCCGCCGGCCTGCGTGGGCTGCGAGGGGCAGAGTCCCAGGCTGCCCCGTCAAGGGCAGACCTCCCCACCGCCCCTGGGACGTTCCTGGCAGGTTCCCCCACGACCCCCTCCCCAAGTCACTGCTTCCACTGCCTCTGCAAGGACCTGGAGACCCACCGGCTTCCCTGCGCCTCCCGCTGCCCCCGGCCTTGCAGGGGAGTGGGGAGTGCCGGGGTGGGGTCCGCCCGGAGGCCCCTTGCAGGGATGTGACAGGGTCTGTCTCTCCCAGGGAGCCTTCATGCAAGCTCTCCACTGGGACCTCCAGCTGGCCTTCCTCCAAGTCAGCCGTGAGTCCCGGAAGCCGGGTGAGGCCTCATGGGCAGAGAGCCCTCCCCGGACTGACCTGTGTCCCCAAGGCCCTGCCCTCACACTGCCCCGCAGCGCCCGGGGAGGAGCCGCAGCCACAGTGAGCTTTGCAGGCCCCTGGAGCCCGACCCCCAGGTGGGTGCAGCCCCCTCCTGCTGAGGTCACGTCCCGGCAACCCCCTGCCAAACCCCCTGCCATCCTCGCCCTCCAGCATCCCCAGGGACGGCCCCGCCCCTCTCGCCTGTGCCCCGCCCCAGGAGCAACCTGGCCAAGGTGAACACCTTCTCCCAGGAGCTCAACTACTGCACGGTGGACAGTGGACGAGAACTCCCGTCTACTCGGCCAGCCACCAGGCCGAGCAGCGGGGGTGGGGCAGGGCTGGCGACCGGGCCGCGCCGCTCACCGCCTGCAGCACCCACGTGTGCCGCAGCTGCTTTCAGCCACGGGCAGCCTCTGGAGCCTGTGGTTCGGCTCTTGTGTCCTCTCAGTCGTGGAGATGCTGGAGCTGCTGCTGGACGCCGCGGCCCTTGCCCTGCTGCTGTGCTGCCGCCAGCTCCGCGGGGCTCGGGGCCAGCCCAGGGCAGCCACGGGGGTGCCCGCTCCAAGCCAGAGGCCGGCTGGTGGCCGGGTAGCTGCAGGCATGACATCGAACGCCCGGGGGCCCAGCTCCACCTCCCATGATGTTGCAGGGGCTCCGGCAGGGGTCTTGGCTGGAGGTCATCCCGGTGTGGACCCCGGAAACTCCTGACACCTGAACCAGCCTGCGAGCGGCCTGACCCTGGGAACTGTGGCAGCAGTGGGCTCTCCCGGCTGCCCAGGGCCGGCCAGTCCCGCCCCACAGGGCCCCCCCCACCCCGCCCTGGCCAGCCGAGCCAAACCCGGGGCCCAAGAAGCAGCAGGGGCCCAAGAAGAGCCCGAGGGCGGACAGGCGCCAGGCGCTAGCACATGGGACCTTCTTAGCGCAGCTGCCTGCCTGGCGGTGACCTCACAGGTCTCAGGGAGGCCTGGGGCAGGGAGCAGGGGAGTGTCCCCACCACTCGGCATCCTCGCGTTCAGGGCGTGACGGAGCATCTGCCCGTGTGCAGGAGTGTGCGCGCGTGCATGACGTTGGGGGGGTGCCCCAAGGGAGTGTGTTTGTCTGGTGTCAGCGTCATACATCCACATCTTTCCGAGCATCAACACGTCTGTCTATACCTCCGTGCAGGTGTGTGCAGGCATCGGGCAGAGCCCCCCTCGCTCAGGGCCAGTGGGAGAAAGGGCAGGACCAGGCCCGGGCACTCAGTGACCTGGGCCCGCTTTGCAGTAAAATGGATGACTCTACCTGGTGGCTGGAGTGTGTCCTGCTGCACCCCCCCACTCCCCCCACCCCCGCAGCGAGCTGAATACCTCAGACCACACCCCCACATCCTCAGTCACGGACACGGTGGGAGCTGGGGAACGGGAGGGCATGGGGCCAGAGCTTGCCCAGGGGACAAGGCCACGGCCAGAGCACCCTCGCCAGTTGGTGTCCATCCCAGAGGAGAGCAGAGGGCTCAGGGAATGGGGTATCAGGAGTTGGTTTTAATCAAAGCAGCCCTGGCTTCCGTGAGGCCGCCGGCAAGGGCACTGGGCTCTGGCTTACTACATGCTTTGGGGGCACGACTGGTGCTGTCCCACGCAGGGCCTCCCTTTGGGGAAAGCAGGGGACACAGAGACCCCCCCACCCTGTCCCCAGCCGAGACAGAGCGGAGTGAGGTGGGCGAGGAGAGGTGGCAGGTGCAAGCGGCCGTTTATTAACTGTGATCTGGAACGGAGGCGGGTCCCGCCAGCCAGCCGAGGCCGCAGCAAAGGCCCTGATGCAGGCAGTGGGGCGGGAGGCGGGGGCAGAGCTCAAGCAGGGAGAGAGGAAGGCATTGATTCTGCTCTCTAGGGGTCACAGCCAGCAGGAGAGGGAGCTGGGAGCCCAGTCCACACCCACCTTGCTGCCCGTGGGGCCTCACTGGGCAGTCTTTGCATAGTGAGCAACCAACTGGCCTTGGCCTGGCCGAGGGCCCGAGTTGGGGAGAGGCCCAGCCGGTGCCCCAGGGCTCTGGGAAGGGGAATGCAGAAGGCATCAGAGGGCCCTGGGGAGTGAGCCGAGGCCCCATGGGTCTAGCCGGAGGTTGGAGGGGGGGAGGCTGGCGAGGGGGCAGGGCTGAGCTGCAGGCGCCTCCCCTAGCAGCAGGCAGAGCTGGGGGTCAGAGTGGTCCTTGAGTCCAGAGAAAAGACGTGAGACAAAGTGAGAAGGAGATCATTGTAGAAAACCTCTCAGTCCGTGACAAAGGATGTTGGATGCAGGGGTGGGAAGAGCCACACCCCTGCCACCCGCTGTGGGAAAGGGGGGGGATGGGTGGGGCTACGGGGCACAAGGGCCTGCATGGCCAGCCACACGGCCTCGGGACATCCACACCCAGCCAGGGCTGAGGCCCCAGGCCAGAGCCCCCCAAGCACCCAAGAAGCCCAGCCTGGATGCTGGGGTCACTAAGTGAGGTACGCGGGTTGATTCCCTGGAATGGGCGGCCCCTTCTGCCCTCGCCACATGCTGGTGGCCAGCCACCAGCCCCAGGGCCTAGTGGAGGGGTTCTGGGGGTGTGGGAGGGCCCCTACTAGCAGGTCAGTGTTCTTGGGCAGCAAAGTGGGGGCACAAGGTAACACAGGCCCTGAGGGCAGAGCGGGGCACCAACGGCACAGGCCCCAGGGATAGAGGGGCATGAGGTGACACGGGCCTGGGGGAGCAGAGAGGGGCATGAGGTGATGTGGGGCCTCGAGAGTGATTTGTGACACGAGCCAACCCAGGCCCCCTAGGGAGGGGTCACCCGAGGACACAGAGTCCCTGGGTGGGGTGATGCAGCGCCTCCCAGGGGAGACGTGGAGCTTCAGAAGACTCAGTGCTGGGGTCCTGCTCCGGGCCCTGGGGGTCAGGGCAGCTCCAAGGGGGGCGGAGCAGGCAGCAGGGCTCCAGGAGCTCCGGGGCTCTCAGGAAATGGGCCGGTGGGGGTCCCGCCAAGGCCCTGCCACCCTAGCTCTCATCCAGGTGGAGGCTGATGAACTCCTGGATGCACCTGCGGTACTGGAGCTCGGTGGGGCTGCTGCCAGCCAGGGGTCCCGGCTGGCCGGGGGGTGCCTCGGCCTCACGCATCTCCTCGGCCATGCGCGCCAGACGGAGACTGGATGAGGGAGGGCCACGTGAGGCGCTTCCACCTGCCGCCCACTTCCCGCCGCCTGGCCCCCGCCGCCCCCGTGCTGTGCTCACAGCGTGACGATGTCTGCATTCGCCTCCTGTACCGCGATGCTCAGTGGGTCCTGCTGCGTGTGGTCCAAGGCATGCTGGTCCGCCCCCCGCTTCAAGAACAGGCAGACCTGGCTGAGGGCGGAGGGGCAAGTCGGGGCGGGCCCTGGGCAGGTACTGGCAGGCGACCCAGGCCCACGGGGTTCAAGGGGGGGTGGGGAAGGGGAGG